TTAGCAAAGACAATATGTTGAGACGTGCTCAGACGCACTCTGGAGAACACGCGTTCAGGGTAGATCATTGGGAATGTGGGGGGGGCTTGGAAGATTCGTTTTCATGCAAAATTATTTATTGCTAAAAAAAATTAACAACTGGTTTACGCAAATGTTAGCAGGCTAGATTTATTTTCAAGAGTCTGTTAAGAAGTAGATTTTTTTTCTGATCACAAAGCCTCCCCACGATTAAAAATTGTGTCCCATGGCCGTCGATCGTTACCTTTCCTTCCAGTCTTTCTGACGGTAACGTCACATCAATCCCTCGAAGCTTGGCAAATGACTTAAAATCCATACACGCCCTACAAGGTTTACTTTTGGTAGTGTTTTTCAAAAGTTCTTTACTTCTTCTACTCCCACTATAACTTTCCATGTCGTCGGACAAATCCAAGCCGGCGAAGTTTGAGTAGGGCGCTGCCATTTTGTCTCACAGTGCATCTTGGGAAATTGATGTTTCGCGAGTAATATGTTTATTTAATATTGACACATTTATAGATTTATTATCATGCCTTAATTTAAGTACATTTAATATTATTATCTTTCCTCGATAACTGTAAACTAAAATCAAACCAAGCTTGACTAACGAAATTGCCAATTGGAGTAACGAGGCCACAAACGTGGGTTCAACTTCAGTTCAAGATGGCTGCTCCAGCGTCGATGCGAGATGCTCTGAGACGAGGTACGTAATTTTTGTGTTATCAGTTGATAATTATGCTTGAAAATAACACCCAGTTGAAGTATATATATTCTACCTAATATTTAGCCAACAAATTGCATAATTTCCCTGATTATAATAGTTGCATTTGCAGAGTTTCAATACACGTTTCCAAACAAAAAATACCAGGGACTCACTTTATTGAGAACACGTACCCCCCGAGGAATTAAAATGGTCATATAACGAAAATACAAAATGGAGTAAACCCTATCAAAATACGTCTACGAAGTAATCCAATCAAACGTGCATTAGTTGTTGAAAAATGTCAGTTTCATTTCATAAATATTGTTGCATTTTAACATTAGTGTTTTAAAGTGATAACAAATTAATATATAGACAGTGACAAAACACACTAGTATGACAGTTATAATTAGATCTATTGCGTATTATTTCTAGCTGTTTCATGCTCCTCCTTTCATGCAACTATTGCAACTCATAATTCATGTACAATCGAAAGTATTTTGTGGTCTGGCGAAGCTTGTATTGTTTGGCAACCGGTAGTCTTATTGGAAGTTGTAACTTTTCAACTATAGTCCAGTTCTCACTAAACATGAGTCAAATACAACTACTTCATTTCATGCAGTTTAATGTGGATTCGAACCACTTTCTGTCCGCACTGTGAGCGATCTTGAACCAGATTGGAACAAGCTACATGTAGCTGTCTCCACAAGCTTAGCCTGGTTACCTTCCTCTTATTTCTTATTATTTTTGACAAAAAACAACAAATTCCTCGCAATCATGAGTTCAGATATAACATTTTTTAATATCATGTTCGCAATGTACCGGTACATCAAAAAATGTTTACATATTTAGAGAGCAACTTCCAGACTGAACACAATGAGCTCAGTCTATATAAAAATTAAGATTTATTTAAATAATCGTCCTTGTTGTGTCCACATTTCCATTATGCCATTTTCCCACATAAATATTTAACCTTTATTTCTTACTTTTGTCGTTTATCATTCCTATTTGATTTGTATTTTGTGTGTCTTAGTTCTTTGAGACCATGCGTGTCAGTGTTGTGTGAATCAAATATTAGTTACCAGTAATGGGAACAGCTGAACTGACTGTAATCCAAATACGATTCAAATCAAAACTGATTATTTTTGTCTAGTATATTATTACAGCAACTAGACTAAGCATGGAATGCTGCGACTTCATTAATGATACAATGAATGCCTAATTTTTATAATGACTGGTACAATGTTTTCTCTCAACTTTTTGTTTTTCTCTCAATTCTTTTAGGCTGGGCTCCTTTCATGAAATATGCATTTGATAAAGAGCCTATTATTGTCATATCGCTTGCTCTTGGAGCCATTGGTATGTATTACACTCTATACACTATAAAATGATGTACATATTTGCCCCTGTTTCTTAGCAGCACAAATTTGTCCTGTATGTGACTGTTTGAATGTACGATTTCTCAGCAGTGTGCAGACAAATTACAAGCACACTTGGTAATAACATCGCAAATGTTGTGCATTACCAAACTTGACTACTGTCCAAAAGCATTCTCACAGCATGTACAGCTATTCACTTCCTTGCACGTGTTTATCCCAATTAAATAACATGTATGTAATAACCAGTGTTTCATCTAGGCCGCGCGATTGCGCGATTCGCGCAAATACTTGAACTCAGCGCCGCCACTCTAAGGAGGACGGGGCGATCATCGCGCAAAATCGATCTTATTGCCACTCCCTCAAATGAGACGGAACACGCGTCTGACACACACTTTTTGGACTGAACCACTTACATAGCACGTATTGGGCATGAGTAATATTGCAACTGCAACATTGTATATCCTACGCGAGGGAAGTTAATTGCTTCCAGGGCAGTAGTGTGCGTGAATGCCACGTGCCTGGAATTGTTTTTGTTACATTTTATGATGTATATTCCATCAACGCTCTTCCAAAAAATGTTGCCTTCCTGGTTGATACTAGTACGCGATGAATAAACTCTTACGTGTGATTGCGTCTGTGTTTTTTGTTGTTACATTTTATCAAGTAGATTCCATCAACGCTCCTTAAAAAACGGTGCTTCCCCTGTTAAATTTGTGTTGAATAAACTATTTTGAAGTACGATTCCTTAATTATCCGAGGGAGTGAAATCATTCTTTTAATTTTTAATTAAACTTGTGACGTGATTCTGGTTTTCATTGAGTGCCAGTTTCAAATTTACGTTCTGTGTCCTGGTTTTCTGTGCGGCATCCTAGTTATTTACTACGTAAATATCATGAAAAGGGGTCGACTAATAACAAAGTTTTTTAAGAAAACCGTCGATGAAAATGAAGACGAAATCGACGAAAGCAATGATGCAAATAATGCAACGCAAAACGAAGAAACTGACAACGCTGTAGGACCTCTCGATCTGGAGTCATGTGTAGACCCATCGTCGCCACCTGCTAAAAGGGGGAAGCAAAGTAATTTTCAGTCGTCATGGCTCAATAAACCGGGATGGTCTGATTGGCTGGAACAACCGAAAGATGGCACAGGCATGAAGTGCAAAATACAGTGGCCCCTCGCTAAGTCGCGGGTGTCGGGATCCAAGCAAAAACCGCGACTATCGAGGGCCGCGACTTACCGAGGGACCTCGGTGAAAGAGGGAGATCGTGCATTGAAAAACATATAAAAAGCGAGTTTTATAGAGGTATACCCAAAATGGGACCGGCCGAGAAGCACGTATGATCACTACTCGACACCCCTGTTGACACCTTGAGTAAGGCCGCCGTCACCCATTGAATCTAAGCAATTGACGGACAGTAGGTGTTAAGTTGCCTTTTTAACGGTTAGTTAAAAACACTATGCAACAAAACATTAGTCTTTGTACTTCAAAACACAATAGAAATTTTGGGAGCCATCAAAGTACCCGCAACTTAGCCGAATCGCGACTTACCGAGGCGCGACTTAGCGAGGGGTCACTGTATGTCTCAAATCTGGAAAGCGAAACCCATTCACTGACGCCGACGGTTGTAAAAACTACTGCACATCGACTGTTGCACGACACGCCAGCAGCGCTTTGCATTTGGAAGCTGTAAAAGCTACGATAATGCGAGCGGACACGGAAGCAGCCGTCCTTACCAAAAAGCAAGACGTCCTACAACAAGCTTATCCACGTGATAACCTATCATTGTTGTGGAAACTCATAAACAATAACCACCGTCAAACAGTGCCAAATTTGATCACCTTAGCGAAGATTGCCGTTACGCTGCCAGTTAACGCGGCTATTTGCGAGAGGGGCTTCTCAGCCCAGAATAAAATCAAAACGTGTCTACGCAATAGAATTGAGGAGCGCGCATTGAATCGCCTGATGACCATTCTGATTGAAGGTCCCCCACTCAAGGATTTTGATTATGAGGAATCGCTTCGCCAGTGGAGAATCCAAAAATCGCGGCGCATATTCCTGAAAGAATAAATTTGTTTTGACCGGTTGCGTTGCCAATTCAACGTGCCCAAATTTCTAGTCGGCACGATCAAAAGATAAAATGTTGCAAACTTTTGCCGTGTTTACGTTCACCTGTCAA